GAGGGCTCGTCATCACACCAGCTCCTCCCAGCCTGGCAGTACCGACTGCTTCCCCGCAAGAGCGCCTTTGCCATTCATCAACGACTTCACCGGATCGCCGAATCCCCCTCTACATCGCGGCAACAGCGCTCCTCCCACCAGACTCGACGTCGTCGCTCGTCACCTTCCCCCGTGTCTCAGGAGGTCGAAGCCCCCACCCTGTCACGCGCCATGTATTCCAACTCAAACTCGTTTCTCGGCGGCGGCGGCAGGCAGCGCCCCGGCGCGCAGCAATATGGAGGCTCGTTCAACAGCTTGGGAAGCCAGCAAGGTCAGCAGGGCAACCCGAGTCCCTTCGCTCCGCAGCCGACGGGCTTCGGCCAGGCTCCTCTGCAGCAGCAATACACCGGTTTCCCAGGCGGTCTGCAGCAGCAACAGCAACCTCAGTCTCAGCAGCTGCAGCCCCAGTACACTGGTTTCCAGCCTCAGCAGCAGCAGAGCTTCCAGACCGGCGTGCCGCCCATGCCCTCGATGCCGTCCCAGTTCCAGCAGCAGTTCCAGCAGCAACAGCAGCAACAGCAGCAGCAGCAACAGCAACAACAGCATCAACCGCAACAGCAACCCCAGCAGACTGGATTCTCCCTGACCCCGCAGCAGACCTCGGCGCCCGCTCAAGCCATGAAGCCGCAACCCACGGGCTTCAGTCAGATGGCCGCTTCGTTCCAGACGGGCGGTGGCTCCAAGCCTCAAGCGCCTGCGAATCCACCACGAAAGCAAACAGGGGGCCAAACGTTCGACTGTCCTTCATCACTGCCCAGGACCAGGCCAAGTTCGAGACGCTGTTCACGTCCGCTGTCGGTGACGACTCGACCCCCATGTCAGGGGACAAAGTTCGGGATCTGTTGATGCGCTCCCGTCTGGACGAAGACTCGCTGTCGCACATCTGGAACGTTGGCGTGCTCCTGTCATCTGCGAGGAACAGCGATACTGAATTGCCCTGTCCAGGACCCTCTCCGACACCACTCGATCGGACCAACTTCACTTTCCAGAGTTCGCGCTTGCCATGTACCTCTGCAACCTCAAGTTGACAGGTCAATCCCTGCCCTCGCCCTTGTCCGAAACATCAAGAATGAGGTCTCGAGCATGTGGATATTATCAACATCAGCATCATTGAAGAGGCGTCTGCAGGCTCGACCGCTGCCACCAATGCCCCCGACTTCACTGGCAGGCAGACGAACAACACGCCGCCGACCATCCATCAGCCCCAGCCTCAGCCGTCAAACTCACAGCTGCTCCAGGCCCAGATGACTGGTTTCCCTGGCCAGCAGCAGCCCCAGCAAACCGGCTTTCTCGGACAGCAGCAGCCTCAGCAGATGGGATTCCTCGGCCAACAGGGCCTCCAGGCCCAGCAGACCGGCTTCCCCGGCATGCAGAGCCAAGCGACCGGCTACAACGGTCCACGCCCTCCGATGCCCCCTATGCCCACTGGCTTCGGCGCGGGAGGCCCGGGTGGCATGGCCCCATTGAACGCGCAACCCACCGGTCGCCCCGGCCAGTGGGGCTTGGTGAACGCCCCGGCCACTGGCCTTCCCAACATTGATGCGCTGCAAGCTCAGATGATGCCGCAGCAGGGCCGCGAGCAGCAGAACTTCACCACTGCTGGCCTCCAGGGCAATGCTGTCATCCCCTGGGCCATTACCAAGGAGGAGAAACAGCGTTACGATTCCCTGTTCAAGGCCTGGGATGGCCTCAGCAAGGGCTTCATTGCCGGTGCGCAAGCCATTGAGATCTTTGGCCAGAGTGGTCTTGAGAAGCCTGACCTGGAACGCGTCTGGACGCTCTCTGATAACGGCAACAAGGGCCGTCTCGACCTCGACGAATTTGCCGTTGCCATGCATCTGATCTACCGCAAGCTGAATGGCTACCCTCTGCCTAACTCGCTGCCGTCAGAGCTCGTCCCCCCTTCTACGAGGAACTTCAACGCATCCATCGGCACCATCAAGAACATGCTCAGCGAAGAGTCCAACTACCGCAACAAGTCTGGCGCCGCTCTTCTGCCCCAGAAGACGGGCGTCAGTTACATGAAGAGCCACTCTTTGAAGGGTAACAATTTTGGTGGCGCCGGACGCAAGGATGCCACCGTCTTTAAGAACAACGATGACGACGTTGGCTACAAGTCTAGTGCGCGCCGCCGCCTCGGTAATTCCTCCCCTCGACCTGACTCGCCTTCATCTGTTGCGTCGTCGAACGATGATCTCAATTCCGAACAGCTGAAGAAGAAGATCAGGGAGAAGCAGGTCCTCCTTGACGCCATGGACTTCAACGACGAGAAGAGCCTCGAGGAAGACGACATGCTGGACAGGCGCGACCGACGCGAGGCCGAGGAGTTGTACCGTCGCATCCGCCGCACCCAGGATGACATTGATTCTCACCCTGATGCGGCCCTCGCGACTGGCGATTCCGACGCCGAGCGCCGCTCTCTCAAGCGCCAGCTCCAGAACCTCACAGACAAGATTCCCCAGCTCGCCTCCCAGGTGCGCCAGACCGAGAAGGCCATTCACGATGCGCGCTTGGAGCTGTTCCGCCTCAGGGACGCCAAGGCACACCCCAGCAGCGCCTCTACGATTGTTGGCACCGGTCCCGGTGGTGTCGTGACCGAGTCTGACAGGCTCAAGGCCAGGGCAAAGGCCATGATGCAGCAACGCACTGCTGCCCTCACAGGCCGCAAGATCGACACTGCCGTCGACGACACGGACGGACCCAAGCGCCTCGAGGAGGAGAGCATCAAGGTACGGACAGAGAAAGAAAACAACGAGCGCATGGTCAAAGACGTGGAAGACTCGGTGCGCGAGTTCTCTCGTGGCATCGAGGACAGCCTGAAGGACGGTGCTACTAGCTCCACCAACGAGCACGAGAAGAGGCGCTGGAGGACGCTCTAGGCGTTGAGGACGAGGTCAAAGACTTCATCTTCGACCTACAGCGCTCTAGCCGCTCTGCGCGACTTCGATCTCA